TGGAGGTTGCAATTTCCTATGCAATCTTTAGCTATTGTATCTTAATCTCTCTGTTATTAATGAAAGATTTTTGCTGATAAAAAAAAAGTTGAAAGACTTAGGTGTGGTGTGGATTATGAAAGAGGAGGCACAAGAAGGAGAGAAAGCTGGGTTAAATTAAGCTGAGTCTTTGGGTCTTTTTGCTTGTTTTTCCATGATGATAATTAGTTGGGATGTGAGGGGATTGGGGAGTTCAAGAAAGGAAGTGTAATTAGGGAAGCCCTTAGGAAAGAGAAACTGAGCATTATCTTAATTCAAGAGTCAAAGCTGACAGAGGTGGATAGAAGATGGGTGAGGAGTGTATGGTCAGCTAGAGGGTTAAGCTGGGTATTTACACAATCATCGGGAGCATCAGGAGGCATCATTACAATATGAAAGAATGAAGAGATGGACTGTACTGAAGAACTAATTGGAAATTTTATAGTAACAATCAAATTGAGAAGGAAAGAGGATGGTTTTGAGTGGGCCTTAACCAACGTCTGTGGACCTAACTCGTATAGGGAGAGGGATGATTTTGAGAGGAGCTTGCAGCCATTAGAGGTCTTTGGAATGGACCATGGTGTTTGGGGGGTGATTTCAATGTCATAACATTCCTAAATGAGACTACCAATCCAAACCATAGGGTCGCCTCCAGCATGAGAAAGTTCAACCTATTTGTGGACTCATATGAACTGAGAGAGATACCCATGTTGCAAGCAAACTTCACTTGGTCCAATTTCCAAGAAGAATCCCTATGTTGTAAATTAGATAGATTCTTATTCTCTTCAGATTTTGAATTTGCGTGGAGGGGACTGGTAGTAAGGGCTCTCCCTAGACCTACCTCAGATCATTGTCCAGTTAGGTTATCCCAAGAAAACTTAGGAGGGGGGCATGTCCTTTCCGGTTTGAGAACATGTGGTTTTTTCATCCCGATTTTATAAAAAAGTTCAACTGTGGTGGGAAGAAGACCAAGTGGAATTCAGGTGGAAAGGGTACAAGTTTTATAAAAAGCTACAGGCCTTGAAAGCTAGAATCAAAGCCTAGAATAGGGAGGAATTTGGAAGAGTGGAAGAAAGAAAAGAGTGGATTGCCAATAGGATTCAAGAAATTGATGGAGGTGAGCCAAAGAGGAGATTGACGATAGGAGAGAGGGAAGAATGTTGTAAGCTGAAACAAGAGTTGTAGGAAATCATAAGGAAAGAGGAGATAAATTGGAGACAAAAATCTAGGTGTAAGTGGCTGAAGGAGGGAGATGGGAATACCAAATTTTTTCATACCTTAGCAAATGAAGGAAGAGGAAGAATTTTGTGGGGAGACTGGAATGGAATGGGGAAGTGATTACAAGTGAGGAGGAGATAGCAAGAGCTTTTGTGGAGCATTTCAAATCCATTTATGACAGCCCAAGAAGAGAGAGAGAAGAAATTCCTAACCTTGATTGGCTTCCAGGGAATAGAGCTTTGATGGATTAGCTAGAAAAGAATTTTGAGGTCCAAGAAGTAAAAGATGCTATTTTTTCAATGGAAAGATCTAAAGCCCCATGCCTAGATGGTTTCACGATGGCCTTTTACCAAGATTGCTGGGATATTATAGGTGGTGATTTAATGGAGGTCTTCTTGGAATTCTTTGAGAGAGGTAAGATAAATTCGGGTGCCAATGCTACTTTCATAGCTTCGATTCCTAAAAAGGTAAATGCAAATCAACCAAAGGATTTTAGGCCCATATGCCTAATTGGTAGTATCTATAAGGTAATCTCAAAGGTCTTGGCAAAAAGAATAAAAAAGGTACTACCATCCTTGATTTCTCCGAACCAAGGGGCATTTATGTCAGGAAGACAAATTATTGATTGGATCCTTATTGCCAATGAATGTGTGGATTACAAAAAAAGACAAGGAGAAAAGGGCCTAATTTGCAAATTGAACTTGGAGAAGGCCTATGATTTGGTGGATTGGGGTTTTTTACTGGAAGTATTGAGAATTAGAGGATTTGGAGAGAGGTGGTGCATGTGGGTTTAGGGTTGTATCTCTTCATGCCACTACTCCATTCTAGTTAATGAGGTAGCCAAGGATTTCTTCTCGGCAAAGAGAGGTTTAAGACAAGGGGATCCTCTTTCTCCTTTCCTTTTCATCCTGATAGTTGATGTGTTGAGTGTCTAGATTACTAGAGCGGATGCTGGAAATTTGCTTAGAGGGTGGAGAGTAGGGAGGGAGGAAATAGTTGTAACCCACCTTCAATTTGTTGATGACTTGATTCTTTTTTGTGAAGGAGATCCGGAGGAGCTGGAAAATTTAAAGGTCTTGTTAGAGAATTTTGGAAAGGTCTCTAACTTGAGATTAAATTGGAATAAAAGTTGTGTAGCTGGAATTAATAGGCAAGAAGCAGAGGTGGCATCTTTGGCTAGATCTCTAGGTTATGAGGTAAGTGATTGGCCTCTTAGGTATTTAGGCTTACCTTTGGGAGGAAACCTGAGGTTAGATAGCTTTTGGTACCCAGTTTTGGAAAGATTCTCAAAGAGACTAGCGGGTTGGAAAAGGAACTACATCTCTTTAGGGGATAGAATCATTCTAATTAAGTCAACACTAGCAAATTTGTAAGTGTATTTTTTGTCTACCTTCAAATTGCCTGTTAAGATTACAAACTAGGTTGAAAAAATAATGAGAGATTTTCTGTGGGAACCTGGAGATACTAAAAAGGATCATAGGGTAAAATGGGAAGTGGTGTCTAGAAAGAAAGACAAAGGGGGCTTAGGGATTGGAAATATTAGAATAAGAAACACAACTTTGTTAGGCAAATGGTTATGGATGTTTCCTAAGGAGTAAGAGAGTTTATGGCATAAGGTGATAAGAAGTATTCATGGAATGGCAGGAAATGGATGGGACGCTGACTCGACCCAAGGGCTTCACGCTTTTCCCCGTGGAAAGATATTGTTGGCATCTTACCCATCTTCTCTCCTTTTATTAGGTATGATGCTTGCGTGGGTAATAAGATTCTTTTTTGGGAGGACTTGTGGATTGGGGAATCTCCCCTTAAGGATAGATTCCCGAACCTATATTCCGGTATTCCTTTTCTTTGAAAAAGTTTCAATCTATCTCTTCTTTTCGTGTTTCTAGGGATTCTTGGGATTTGGGACTAAGGAGAGGTTTGAGGGACTCAAAAGTGGGTTTGGCAGATGATCTTTTTTCTCTTCTAAGCTCAATTTTTCTAGACCACTCTTCTCCTGACAGTAGAATTTGGACGGAAACTTATACAAGTAGTTTTTCTTGTTCTTTGTTTTTCAATGCTATGGTCCTTCCTTTTAACTCGGTTACCTCCTTTCCTGTTAAAGAAGTATGGAGCGCTCTAGTACCCCCAAAAGTAAGGGCTTTTTGTTGGGAAGTGGTTCTCCAAAAAACCAGTACCTTGGAAGTGCTTCAAAGAAAGAGACCAAATTGGTGCTTGTCCCCTCATGCTTGTAGCCTTTGCTTGAGGAATGGTGAGATGGTGAATCACCTATTAATTTCTTGTCCTTTTAGTGCTCTAATTTGGGATTGGTTCCCCTCTCTCTTTGGTTGTAGGTGGACTCCCCCCCACAAGCGTAGTGGAATTATTTGACCCTAGCTTTTTCTGACAACCAAAGAAGAAAGGAAGGGTGATGTGGAGAACAACGAGGGCAGCTATCTTGTGGGCAGTGTGGGAAGAGAGAAATAATAGGATTTTCCAAGGGAAAGAAAAACCAGCTCCTGAAGTTATTGAAGGGATCACCATCAAGGCAGTACATTGGCTGAAAACTCGACTTGTTCAAGGATGTCTCCATAGATGATTTGACTAGAGGCTGGAGTATTTTAGCAAGGTCTTCTACTTCATCACCTACAATACAAGCAATTTGGTCCCCTCCTTTGCAGTGTAATGTTAAACTGAACTTTGATGGCAGTTCTCTTGGGAACCCTGGACCTTCTGGAATAGGGGGTGTGTTTAGAGATGTGGAAGCAAAAATCCTAGCTATGTATTCTGGTCCAATAGGTTTGGGGGACTTGCTTAGAGCTGAAGTGTTGGTTCTCCTCCAGAGGCTCAGATTGGCCAAGCAATTGGGCTTTCGACAGTTAGAAGTGGAGGGAGATTCAAAATTAGTAGTAGGTTGGCTGCAATCAATAGTTTGGGAACGTGGTTCCTTAGACAACCTGTAAGGGAATTATTGAGCCTCACAAGGGAGCTGGGTGCACAAGTTTATTGGTCTAGGAGATCAGTAAATGCTTTAGCTGACAACCTAGCAAAGCAAGGTGTGAATCGGGAGGTTTGTTTTGGGCAGTGTTGTAAGTTATTTTTTTGTTCAGGGGTCACCTTTCACTTTAGAAGGTGACAGTTCTTCTTCTGGTTTTATCTAATGAAAGTTACCATTTCCTATAAAAAAATGTTGTTTGCAAGAAGCACTCTGGTACAAATACATGTTTGCTTTCACTTCCATATTTGCATTTAGGATATGCTTTATATGTTATGTTTATCAGTTTATATTTACTTTGAGACAATAGGCTTTTTAAAACATTAGTTTTCTTTTTAAATTCAAGTTTTCATGTATAAATAATAACTGTTTTATTTTTTATTTCGACTTTTTTCTGATTTTTTTATTATTTTCTTTTATTTTTTCGAAATTTTGCATTTCTTTTTGAAAAGCTGCATGCCTTGCCTTGCACCTTGTGCCTTGGGCATTAAAAAACCTTTGTGCTTTTCTTTCATGTTGCACTTTTAAAACACTTCCAACATACATCTTAGCATCTTGCTTGTTCACCATGTGACCTTTACAGTGAACCCTGAGCCTAGAGATTCATCTGAATTCCATAGGGAACTTGATGACTAGTCTCACTTTAGGGAAAAAGGAAGTTACCTTTCATTTAACTCTTGCCATTATTTTTACCTATCACATTTCTTGATTTTTATCGGACTTGAGTAAGATGTGCTAATTCTTTTTCTGCTTTTGGTTTATACTAATTATTTGTGTCATACTTGTTCAGGTAATTCAATTGCGGAAGGCATGTAGCCATCCTTACCTCTTTCCTGGTATTGAACCAGAACCATACAAGGAGGGTGAACATCTTGTACAGGTAGACATACCAGTATTATGGAAGACCTGTCTTATAAGGATTTTACTTAAAATGCCCAAAAGGAGAACAAATATGAAATCCTCCTAGAGGTAGGGAGAGAACATAGACTAAACATACTTACAAATAGCCTATGTTAGGGCAACCTAGAGCCATGTGGTAGCCCCAATATCTCTAATCTCCTGTGGAAGTGCTGATGTCTCTGATCTAATCAAGTTTTCACCCTTTCTGTTATGTTGATTTAGTTGAATGCAAGCTTTTCTCTAGATACCTAGAAAATGCAAAAAATAAAAAGGAAAGAAGAAATGTGGAAAAGCTTGTTGTAATTTGGGACGTATCATCCTTAACACATTTCTTTTATTTTCTTTTATTCCTTTTTTTGGAATAAAGAAAATATTATGTTGCATCTCTGAGTCTCTTGATTTTATAGATCTCCCTCTTGTTGTTCTATTATTTTATGTTAAACAAATTTAATCATGTACTCTATGTTTTATGTGCTCAGGCTAGTGGTAAACTTATAATTTTGGACAAACTGCTTCAGAAGCTGCATGCTTCTGGACACCGAGTTCTGCTATTTGCTCAGATGACTCATACACTTGATATTCTTCAGGTTTGGTTTTAACTTGAAATGCAACTGGCAACTGGCTAAGCTTAATTTGCCATTCATGTTAATTTTTTTTCCTGTACATTATGTATTTTCAATGGAATGTAGGATTTTCTGGAGTTACGAGGGTATACATATGAACGTCTTGATGGATCTATTAGGGCTGAGGAGCGCTTTGCAGCAATAAGAAGTTTTAGTCATCAATCAGTTAAAGACACATTTAATGCTCAAGCTGATCAACATGGTGCATTTGTTTTTATGATCTCAACAAGAGCAGGGGGAGTTGGTCTAAACCTTGTCGCTGCTGATACTGTGAGTCTGAACATTGATTATTTCCTTGGTGTATCCACTTGTGCAGTCAGCCTTAATTTATTGTTATTTGACTTATCATCATGGAATGTTTAACCGAGAACTTTTTGGAGGAACTGAAGGAAGATGAGTCGGGAAATGGGGATCTGTCCAACGTGAAAGTCCTGCAAAGATTTTAGAACCTAAGTTGCAAGAGGACAAAATATTGAAGGAAGTAGGGGATAATAGTGATAGGTGCAAAGAGGACTCGTTGGCTGAATTTGTTGGCAAGCTTGGATGCAAAATTAAGAACCCTAATGATTTGAAAACTTACTTAGGGAGAAAGAAGGAAGAAGGCAAAATTAGGAAGAGGAAGTTGAGTGAGGCTGAAAGATTAAAATTGGATGTTGAGGGAGACAAGGAATTCAATGAGAGGAAGGTAAGAAAAAGGGGGAACAAATAAGGGAGAGTGAACTAAGCAGGGGGAAGAAGCAATAGACTAGAAATGAAGTTGGTCAGTTGGAAAGTTAGAGGCTTGGGAAGTGCCAGAAAGAGAGCTTTAATTAAGGAAGCCTTAAGGAAAGAAAACCTTGATATAGTTATTATTCAGGAGACAAAGTTGTCAATGTTTGATGACAGTTGGGCAAGAAGCATATGGAAAGCAAGGGGTATAAGCTGGGCTATGACTCCATTATGGGGTTCGTTAGGTAGAATAGTGACACTTTGGAAGAATGGCTTGATGCAGGGGGTGGAAGAATTGATGGGAAAATTCATAATGTCAATAAAGTTTAGGCAACTGAATGATGGGTTTGAGTGGGTTCTAACAAATATATATGGCCCAAATGGATATAGGGAGAGGAAAGAAATGTAGGATGAAGTGGGGGATATCAGGGGACTTTGGGAGGGGCCTTGGTGTATTGGGGGACTTTAATGTGATAATGTTAGTTGAGGAGGCCAATAAAGAAAGGCCGAGAGTCACTACTAGTATGAGGAACTTCAGTGAGTTCATAAATGTTATGGGACTTAAGGAGTTGCCTTTTCTGCATAACAAGTTTACTTGGTCCAACCTACAGGCTAACCCGATCTGTTCTAAACTTGATAGATTTGTTTTCACAGTGGATTGGGAGGATCATTGGGGAGATTTGGTGTCAAAAGCTCTACCTAGAGTTACTTCTGATTATTGGCCTATTTCTCTATCTGAGGAGAACATGAGAGGGAGGGGTCCAACTCCATTTCGTTTTGAGAATATGTGGCTTTGTCACCCCAGTTCTAAGGATAAAGTTAAGGATTGGTGGGAGGAAAGCAACCCAAGGGTAGATTGGGAGGGAATGAAGTTCCACCAAAAATTGAAGGACCTGAAAGTGAAAATAAAGGAGTGGAACTTTCAACAGTTTGCGAGATTGGGGGAGAGAAAATAAGAGCTGATTAATCAGATTGAAGCCTTGGATGCCAAAGAAACTGAGGGTACCTTTGGGGTTGGTGACAAAGAGCATCATAGGTGGTCTTTATGGAGACTGTTGGAAGATATCTTGTTCAAAGAAGATATAAGTTGGAAACAAAAATCTAGACATAAGTGGATAAAGGAAGGGGATAGAAATACAAATTTTTTCCATGTGATAGCAAGTGGTAGAAGAAGAAAAAAATTTCATTTCAAAGCTAAAGGTAGATGGTGTAACAATAACCCAACAAAGTGAAATTGCTAGAACTTTTGTGGATCACTTCAAATCCATCTTTAGAAGACCTTTGATGGGGAGACTGAGGGTAGAGGGCTTAGAGTGGCCAAGGTTGATGGAAGATCATAAGATTTGGTTGGAAAGGAATTTTGAATTGGAAGAGTAAAGGAGGCAGTTTTCTCGATGGATAGAGCTAAAGCACCGGGACCGGATGGATTTACAAGAGCTTTCTATCAAGACTGTTGGGATGTTGTAAAAGAGGATTTATTGAGAGTCTTCAATGAATTTTTTGGGAGAGGGGTAATTAATCCTGGGCTGAACTGAACTTTTGTTGCCTTGATCCAAAAGAAAGCAGAGGCAAACCACCCAAAAGAATTCAGATCCATAAGCTTGGTTAATAGCTTATACAAAATCATTGCAAAGGTGTTATCTCAAAGAATCATATTTGGGCTTCCCTTTATCATCTCCTCAAACCAAGGAGCTTTTGTAAAAGACAACCAAATTATTGATCAGATTTTAATTGCGAATGAAAGTGTTGAGGATTTCAAAAGAAATGGGAAGAAGGGTATAGTTTGTAAACTGGATTTGGAGAAGGGCTACGATTTGGTGGAAGCCATGAAAAACTTTGGATTTTGGGAGAAATGGTGTAAATGGATTCGAGGCTACTCGAGGACTTGCCACTACTCGAGGACTTTGGATTTTGGGACTGTAGTTGATCACTTTCTAGCCATTAGAGGGATCAGGCAGGGTGACCCTCTATCCCTCTTTCCTTTTACCTTGGTAGCTGATGTGTTGGGGAGATTAATCTAAAAAGTAGATTCTAGGGACCTGGAGAGTGGGAAGGGAGAGTGCCTATCACACATTTGTAGTTTGCTGATGACACGATTATATTTTGCGAAGGAGGTGATCTTAGTTGGGTAAGGAATCTGAAGTTAGCGGTCCAACTCTTTGAGCAAATGCCAAATTTGAAGATCAATTTTGATAAGAGTTTTGTAGTAGGAGTGAATATGGATGCTAGGGAGATGTCAGATTGTGCAGCCATCTTGGGTTGTGAAGTGTCAAATTGGCCCATGAATTACTTGGCACCTTCCTCTGGGAGACAATCCGAGAAATGGCAATTTTTGGAAACAATGATGGAGAGAGTCACAAAGAGATTAGCTTCTTGGGAGAGGAACTGCCTTTCTTTGGGAGGGAGGATAACCCTAATCAAGTCAACCTTGGCCAACTTACCTATTTATTTTCTATCGGTATTCAAAATGCCAGTGTGGGTTTCCAAGAGCCTAGAGAAATTAATTAGAGATTTTTTTTATGGGAACTAAGGGAGGAAAGAAATGACCAGTCAATTGGGAAGTTGTAACTAGGCTTGGACTTTGGAGGATTAGAAATTGGAAATATTTAGAAAAGAAATGCGGGCTCTACTAGGGAAGTGGTTGTGGAGGCTACCAATAGAGAATGTTAGTTTATGGGCCAAGGTGATTTTAAGTATTCATGGGTTGATGGCTAAAGGTTGGGACGTGGGAGTGTTGGCTCGAGCTACCAGTGTTTCTCCTTGGAAGTCGATACATGCCATCCTACCTTCCTTTTATCAGGTATAACCTTTACTCTGGGAACTTGGTTAATTTCTGGGAACACGTGTGGGTGGGAGACATACCCTTGAAAGATTGCTTTCCTTCTGTCTTTGCTTTGTTTGTTTACAAGAATAAACCAGTTTCCACCTTCCTTTCTTCTCATGCTGGGGGTCTTGAGCTTGATTGGGATTTGGGTTTTAGAAGGGGAACCAGGGATTCAGATCTAAGCAACCTCTTGTCTCTTCTTCATATCTTACAAGGAGTTTGCTTGGACCCTTCATAGTTGGATTCACGCATTTGGATCCTCTCTTCTTCTGGTATTTTTTCTCGTGCTTCTTTCTTTAAAGCTTTAACAATGCCTATTGATAGTGTCGGGCAAACCTTTCCAGTTAAAGAAGTATGGGGTAAACCAGTTCCACCTATGGTTGGGGCTTTTTTTTGGGAAGCCTTCTTGGGAAGGATTAACACTGGTGATCTCCTTCAAAGAAAGAAGCCTTTTTGGTGCTTATCTCCTAATTGCTGTGTTCTTTGTAAAGCTGATGGTGAGTCCTGCTTTCACTTATTAATTTCCTGTCCACTTGTTTCTTTTATTTGGGAATGGTTTCTCTCTTTGTTTGGTTGCAGATGGATTCCTCCACTAGATGTTCAAAGCCTTTTTGGTCCTGCTACTGGTAGCTGTACAAAGAAGATGGGAAGGCTTTATGGAGAAGTACAAGGGCTGCAGTATGTTGGATAGTTTTGGGAGGAAAGAAATCAAAGAACATTTTGTTGATAAGGAAAAAGGTCCAGAGAGACAATAATTGAAGTAATTACGACAAGGGTAATACAATGGGTGAAGTCCCTGAAGTTATTTGATGACATACCACATCAGCTCAGTTGAACAATTGGAAGGAAGTGGTCTGTTCAGCTCCTGACAAGACTGTCCCTCAACCATTGTGGACTCCTCCAGTCTTGGCTTCATAAAGCTAAACTTCGATGGTAGCAGTGAAGGGAACCCTGTCCCTTCAGGCATTGGAGGGGTATTTAGGAATGAGGTGGGTATGGTTATTGCTATGTTTTTAGGCCCATTTGGGGAAGGAGACTCGCTTCGAGCTGAAGTTTTGACAGTCTTGGAAGGTGCCAAAAAGGCTAAGGAGCTTAACTTAAGGAGGTTAATTATTGAGGGAGACTCCAAGTTGGTAATAGAATGGCTACAAAAGGAGGAGAGTAGCATGTGGAGCTACCTGAGTGAAAAAAGAGTATTTAAGTGGTTAACTCGGGATATGGCAGTGAGATTACAGTGGGTAAAAGGTGTGCCAATTCCTTTGCGGATGCACTAGCCAAACAAGGGGTGGGAAGAAATCAGTTGTTCTAGGCCAATTTGTAATCTTTCATTTTCCCTGGGGGAGTTAAGAGAGTTTCTCTCCCCCTACCATTGTACTTTTCTTTCATCTTTCATTAATGAAATGACTTTGTTATTAATCAAAAAAAAAAAAAAGAAAATTGGTAGAGGTTTATTTTTTTATAGAAGTCTTTGATGTTTAATGAGGATCCAAATATTTTCAAAGGATAAATCAATATTAAAGTTGATGCTGTGTGAGGTGTTTGACACATCACTTTTAGATCCTAATTCAGATACTCTGGTGTGTCAACCTCCAATTGATAGTGGCATTGGGGGAGACTTGATTCTTCCTCAAATCGGAAGGAGTATGTTGAGAGATCCTCATGGCATTGAAAGCTTGGTTGTAGCTGCTGGAAAAGAGGGGGAGCAAGCTATGGGATCGTCCAAGTCAGTGAGCTTGCCAGTGATGGAGGAGGGTAGCCTTAAAGGCAGTGGGAATCAGATTCTTAGTCTTATTGAAAAGGAAGTTGAGCTGAACCCAGCATTGCTGATTCTGTGGCAGAAATCAATGGAGCAATTGAAGAAATTAAAGTGACAATCTTAGAATCTGAACTCAGTGTGTTGTTGGTGAATGAGGATACAACTGATGAGAGGGGTGCTGTTAAAGAGATGAATTTGGATGAGGGTGATGTTGTCTTTGATTCAGGACATTTTGTGGAAATTGCAGAAGGGAAATTCGGCAGAGACCTGGGTAGAGGGAGGGTTGAAGCTAGTAAGGATGATAAACCCGAAAAAAGAATAAATAGAAGCTTCAAACTCAGGGCAGCTGGTATATATGACTAAGGTTTTCTTTAGATTGAAGGAAGGGCTTTGTGGGTCAGGGCCTTGTAATAGATTCAAGAGGTAGTATAAGAGGAAAAGGGTGAAAGTTAAAGCAGGCTACCGTAAAGGGAAGGTGGATGGTTTTACACCTAAAGATGATTCTTTTGAAATGATTTTTGTGGGTTCAGCTTCAGATATTGAGAGAAAAGGTTCAGATAAGGAGGATGAAGGATTGGAGGTTCAAAAGAGTGATGATGATTAGATCCTTTATCAAACAAGGCTAGTTGAGAAGAAAATTGATTTGGAAAAAGTGGTAGAAGAAGAGTTGATTTGAGCCATTAGATGTTTATTTTTTTCTTTTGTCAACATTTATCCTTTCTGTCACACATAAACAATTTGTGTCAATGAGGTTTATTTGTTTTCCTTTTTTGTACATGCTTTGTAATTATAATTTGTAAAGTTTTATTGTTACTGATCTGACAATAAACAATCTTACTTTTTATCATTATCTATCTATTGTTGTACCGGATGGCTCTGATTGATAATACTGCAGCAAGGTTACCTCTTTGATATTTCTAATTGAATTTAGCATATTATTTAACCCTTTTCTTGTATGTTAGAGCATTACTCTTGATTTTAGTTCTCTCTGACATTTTATTCCCTGTTATTGTGTGTACAACATGCTATTGATTCAATTGTTTTGTTTCAGTTATGTTGCTTATGTTCATGGAAAATTTCTCACAATTACTTGTTTTAAAACATTTTTAGGTTATATTTTATGAGCAAGACTGGAATCCCCTAGTGGACAAGCAGGCTCTGCAGCGTGCTCACCGAATTGGTCAGATGAACCATGTCCTATCTATAAATCTAGTAACAGAGCGCACAGTGGAGGAGGTGAAGTAAACCTTGGTAAACCATGGGAAAATAAATTCGATTATTTGTTTTGAATCTTTGTACTTTTTATGTAGGTAATTATGAGGAGAGCAGAGAGAAAGTTGCAGCTCGTCCATAATGTGGTAGGAGATTATGACATGGACAAGGAAGGAAAAACAGTGGGAGTTGAAGCTGGTGATTTGCAGTCTGTCATATTTGGATTACATATGTTTGACCCTACAGATATCAATGTTGATAATTTAAAGGAGGTCAATACATCGGATTTGAGTACAATGGTTGAACAGGTGACTGAAATGCGCTATGAACCATTGGACAGTGATGGTAGGAAATTTGTAATCAATCCAATGGATCTTCTGAATGGGGCTGATTTTTCAATTAGAACCACTTCATCTATTGATTTTGATCCTGGGCTTGATGAGGCCTCGTATCTTTCATGGGTTGAAAAGTTTAAGGAAGCATCAAAGTTGATTGATTCTCCAACTATAGAGTTGCGAGCACAGAGAAACTTACCTGAAGAAAAACATATGAAGCTTGAAGCTGCAAGGAAGAAAGCTGAGGAAAAGAAGTTAGCCAAGTGGGAGGCACTTGGTTACCAATCACTAGCTGTCAAAGGTCCTGCTTGTCCTATGGTTGGTGACATTATGCCAGATTCAGGTTCTGTCCAATTTGTTTATGGAGATTGTACAGATCCATCAAAAGTGTGTCCGTCTGAGCCTGCAATAATATTTAGGTAATTTTCTTAGTTTTTATTTTATATAAGAAGGATGCACTTACATGATTTCTTGTTTTCTTTTGATAGTTTTTCGTCTTCCCCTTTTTATCCTATGTACTTTTTTTGAGAAAAAGTTAACTTTATTCAAGAAGAGAAAGGTACATGAGGAGATGTACACAGATCAAGACACTCAAAGAGTTACATAGGCAGAAAGTTATCACTGAATAAGAATTCCCTGTGAGCTCCAGATTTAGCTAGACTGTCAGCTTCAGAATTTAGCTCCATCGGAATCCAGCCCACATGTGCATTCAAGGAGGAGAGGACAACTCTCGCTTCAGCCAAGTAGTGAGCTAAGGCCCAAGGCCCACCACTATCAGGATTGGTGAGCCTGTTAATGGTGTTGGCTGAATCTCCTTTAATGGTAAGATTTGATAAGCCCATGTCTCTTGCAATCCTGATGCCAGTTAATGCTGCTAAGACTTCAGCCTTTGTTGAGGAAGCTATCCCAATCGGTCCACTAAAAGGCCAACTGATAGTACCATCTCTTCTTTGAATTACACCTCCAATACCAGCTGCACCTGGGTTTCCGAAGGCGCTCCCATCAAAGTACAGAGTTGTCTCCCCTTCCTCAGCAAATCTGAGACTGCGGGAAGTGTTGAGGTGTATGCGATTGGAGTGAAGAAAGCTTACAGCATTTCTTTGGAGGTCAGTAAATGTGACACCTCTGAAATAAACTGAGCTGGAAGTCCACAGGAAGCTATAACAGATTAGAGAAATAAGCTCCTCCCAGTTTTTTGTTCTGTTGTTAAACACCCGATTATTCCTCTCTTCCCAAATGTTCCAAAATATAGCATGTGCAACTGATTGCCATGAAGTTTTCCTTCTTTTGCTTTAACCTCTTCCTGTCCATTCCATTGTCCTAAACATTCAACCACATGTTCTGGGAAGACCCAACTATACTCAAACAAAGTTAGGAAAAAGTTCCAAAATTTTCTGGTTTCCTCACAGTGAAGTAGGATGTGGTTGGCAGATTCCCCGGTTTTAAGGCAGAAGCAACAGACATGAGGGGATAAATAAGATCTTCCATGGTTCTTTTTCTGAAGGAGATCATAGGTGTTGATTTTCTTTAAGCTGGCCTCCCACACAAAAAACAAACCCTGGAAAGGATATGGGTGCACCGAATTCTCTTGTAGGGGTACTGATCAGTGGTTTGTTCTTCCCTCACTAAAGCCTTGAAGCAAGATTTGGTTGAAAACTTACCAGAAGGGTGAAGGGTCCAGACACGAAGGTCAGGGGAATTTTGGAAGAGGTATACCTTTCTCAGGGTGCGCAAGAAGTTAGTGATTTCACTAAGTTCCAGGTCCCTTAGTGGTCTCCTAAGAGTAGGTTCTAGTTGAAATGAGAGGGGGGGGGGGGGGGAAGAGGGTAAAACCTAGGATATGAGAGCTTCTTGGTTTGTGAAAGGCTGAAAAGGCGAGGGAAGGAGTTGGCCAAGGTTGAGTTGCCCCACCAAAGATCAGTCCAGAACTTAATTCTATCACCCTTGCCCACCTTATATCTAATAAAAGAGATGAAGAAAGTGTCAGTCGAGGTTATACCTTTCCAAGGGTGAGTGTCTTTGACCCGGTTCAAGTGAAGGTTGCTATCCTAACCGTTGATGTGCTTCCCGTATTTGTTAGTGATTACAACAGTCCATAGAGCACTTGGTTCTAGGGGGAATCAACACAACCATTTACTGAGGAGAGCTGTGTTTCTTTCTTTCAAGTGGCCAATTCCCAACCCACCACCCTCGTTTGGTTTGCAGGCCTGAGCCCAACTCACAAGGTGAGAGCCCCTTTCCCCGCCTCCCTCCCAAATAAAATTTCTCTGAAGCTTTTCCAACTAAATGGCTATCTTGTTTGGCAAGCTGAAAATAGAAAGGTAGTAGGTGGGTAGGTTTGCCAAAGATGCTCTAATGAGAGTGAGTCTCCCCCCTTTGGACAGATAGTTTCTTTTCCACGTGGCTAACTTTTTCTCACATTTTTCTAGAACTGGTTCCCAAAAACGTTGACTTCTTGGATTCCCTCCAAGAGGCATCCCAAGTAGAAGAATGGGAGATTCTCTGCTTTGCATCCCAAGATCTCTGTGAAAGTATTCAGGGAGTGTGCACCGACTAGATTTAGGCCAACAATATTGCTCTTAGAGAAGTTGACTTGCAGTCCAGAAATCCATTCAAAGCAGGTGATGACCCTTTTCAGATTTGAAACAATTGCCTCATCAGCCTCTAAGAAGAGAATAGTGTCGTTGACAAACTGGAGATGTGAAATCTGAGTGGCTTCCCGTCCAACTTCAAAACCTCTCAACAGATCCAAAGAAATAGCCTTATTCACCAGTTGGCTAAAAATTTCTGTGACAAGAGTAAAAGCAATGGGGAGAGGGGGCAACCTTGTCTTAAACCCCAGCTGGCATTAAAATATCCTTTCGGTTGCCCGTTAATTAGTAATGAGAACCAAGTGGAACTTATACACCCCTCAACCCACTAAATCCACTTTCTGCCAAAACCCATTAGCCTCATAGTTTCCATGAGACACTCCCCATCTACTTTGTCGATTGTCGTATGCTTTTTCCAAGTCGAACTTCATGATTACACCAGGTTTTCCATTCAGCTTCCTCTCTTCTACACATTCGTTTGCTATCAGGATGCTGTCAACAATTTGTTGCCCTTTGACAAATGCAAACTGATTTGGGGAAATGATTTCACCTAAAACTTTCTTTAGTCTTTCAGCTAGAAACTTTGCTAAAATTTTGTACACACTCCCAATCAAGCTGATAGGCCTAAAATCTTTTACTTCTAAAGTACCCTCTCTCTTGGGAATCAAACATATGAAGTTAGAGTTATTTCCTTTGTTGACAATGGCCGAATGATAGATGTCATTGAACACCTGTCTCAAATCTGACTTGATAAAACTCCAACAAATCTGATAAAAGAAAATAGGGAATCCATTAGGGCCAGGGGCTTTGTCTCCATCCATGCTAAAAAATGCATTCTTCACTTCTTGTTCTTGAAATTTTCTTTCTAACCACAGTCTGTTCTCCTCCGACAACTTGAGACCTTTCCAAAGGCTTCATGAGAGTTTTCTGCTTTCTTTCTTTGAGTAAAGGTCTTTGAAAAAGTATAGGAAAGCTTTAGAGATTTCCTCAGGATCCTCCATTTCTCGTTGCCCGACTTTTAATTTTGTTATAAGGTTTCTTTTCCGTCTACCAAATGCATAGATGTGAAAGAACCTAGAGTTATTATCCCCCTCCTTTAACCATCTGATCCTAGATCTTTGTCTCCAGTAAACTTCTTCTCTCCTTGCCACCTTTTCCCATTCTTGTCTTAGCCCAGGCCCAGATCTTTTCCTTCTTTCATTCTCATCTAGTTGGCCAATTTGCTCCTTTTGGTCTAATTCATCCAGCTCAGATAGGAGTGCTGATTTTTCTTCCTTGAAGGCTTTAAATTCCTCTTTGGCCCATCCTTTTAACTTCCTTTTTACAAATTTTAATTTTTCCAAGAATCTATAACCTGGCCAACCTTCTGTCCAGAATTTTTCCAGCCTAAAAGGGGTTTTCCCTCTAACCACCAAATCTGTACTCAGGGTGATGGGCCAGTGGTCAGAAGTGCAGCGGGAACGAATCTCCTGAAAGGTCAGGGGGAAGTGGTCTTCCCAATCTGATGTAATTAAAAATCTGTCAAGCCTACAACTTAAGGCATTCTCCTGCATGTTGGACCAGGTAAAATTACCATTCCTTAGGGGGAGGTCGTGCAGCCTATGTCTGGAAATGAATTTGGAGAACTCCCTCATACTTCTATTTACCCTCTTCTCATTGGAGTGTTCATGACTGAATCTCGTGACATTGAAGTTTCCTCTCACGCACAAGGGAAATTCATCATGTTCATGCAAGGAATCCGTCTCTTCCCAAAATCTACTCCTATTCGATGGAGCATTAGGGCCATAAACTGTTGTTAGAATCCAAGTGAAATTGTCTGCCTTGTTTGTGAAAAGTATTGAAATGGAGAATTCACCTCTGTCAACTTCCACTCCTATAACCACGTCTTCTCTCCACACTACAAGGATCCCTCCTGAAGTGCCTATGGCACTTCTTCTTGCCTTTCTTGTTGCATCCACTCTTATCTAAACTTCATCCATTGACATTAGGTGTATAAGAAACAAATAAATCAAGGCGATGTTTCGTATTGTGGTGTGTTGTGTGTCCATTGTTTTTATGCACCGGAAATTGGGAAAAAATGTTGCGGGCACAAAGTGCAATGCAACAATTGTTTATTGTGTTTTATTGCACATAAGCGCCATTGGGCACCACATAGGAAAAACTGAAACACAACAATGAAAATGTCAAAATGATGATGTTTCTTCTAAAAGTGAGTTTGACATAACCCGATATAAGAAAAAACACAAAATTTCTTGTTGCCTTAAAGAAAGTCTAATATATACTTTGTTTGGTAAACATATCTTTTGTTAACTTAAGGATAGTCTTTAACTTGTCAGATCTCTGACCTCAAACTTTTATCTAGAAAGTCCTTAAGCTTTTGAATGGCTGGTGCATTGTCAGTGGTCACTACATATTATCTACATTTATACTATATAAAGTGGATACTTTCCTTAGTTTTGGTGCAGGTCATAAAAGGTAAATTTGATTATATAGTGTTAACTTATATATCTTTACCTTTGCACACATGCATAGCATGTGCCCATAAACTAATGCTATGCAAATGGTATAAATGTTGCTGTACCCACATAGAATCCTAGTGCATTGTAGTTCTGGGGGCTGAATTGGTAGTACTGATTAGTGTTTACCAATGATGTGGTTGTTGTTGACACTGAATTGGTAAGTGGTAACACTGATTAGCATTAGGGCCTACTTTGGGATTTCCTTTTTTTCTATCCATTGTGCATGTTGAAGCTCCACGATAGTTTTGACATTTTCATCATACTCATTAGTTAGATTTGGATTTCTTGCAATTGCTTCAGTTTATGAATAATACTATAAGAGGGACTAAGCTGAAACTTCTGTTAGGTTTCTGGAATTAAGAGTCTGAATTTAATGTAAGAGTTATAAAACAATTTTTATGTGATTGATTCAATCGCTAGTGACAGTTGATCAATCTGCTTGTGCTTATCTAAGTATAAATATTTTAATCCTTCTTTGTTGGTTAATGCATAGTTTATGTTAAGTTTGATATGCCATGCCTTGGCAGTTGTATAGATAACTCTGGTAATTGGGGCCATGGAGGAATGTTTGATGCACTAGAAAAACTTTCAGCAAGTATTCCTGATGCTTATCGGCGTGCTTTCGAATTTGGGGACCTTCATTTGGGTGATCTCCATCTTATAAAACTCAATGGTTAGCTTTTATATCAGATCTTTCCTTCTTTACCTTTTCTTTCTCAGTTATTGTTTTCATTCATGCTATACAATTGCCTTTACCATGTAACAACTAGATAATAAGATGTTTTACTTTATCCCAAAATTCCAGAGTTTTATTAGTTGGTAAGTTCTTTTGTCTAAAACCATGGGTTTATATATATTGGGCCTAGCCCCTGCTAGCCATCCTCTGTTTTTACAAATTCCCAGTGTAGGAAATCAAACCCCAAAAAGGTTGAGATCTGGTTACTCCTTGTTTTGCTAAGCTATCTTTCAAATTGTTGGCAGATCTAGGAATCCTATGGAAGCTTGCATTCTGTTTTTTCTGCCAGGTGTTTGATTTCTCTCGTAACATGTCTCTGTGTTCAAGAGCCTGTGCATCTTCCTTTTGGCCATCTCACTACCATATGAGAGTTCACTTTCACCAGCAAGCACCTGGGAGTCACTTCTTTAGCCTGTCTAAAGCTTTGTAAAATTGCAGTAATTCTTCCCTTCTTGAGTACTCAAGTCCAATGGGTTCAGAATAGAAAGCAATTATCTCCCCTGTGCTGTTTCTAAAAACATCCCTCAAGACCAATTCTGCCAGGGTTCACCAAACTACAAGCATCAAAATTTCGTTTGTAGATGTTGGGAGAAGGAGAGTGCTACAAGGAGTATGAAATATTCCTAGTTGAAGTGTAATCTGCCACATTCCTCCAATTTGTTATTAGTATCATCTGCAATAAATGGAATGAAGGCATCTATGGTCTTCACCGAATGTGCCACTGTAATAAGAATGTTTTGAACTATAGCTTCCTTTGGTTTTCTCTCTGAAGATTCTAACATTCCTTCTTCCAAAATACCCCACAACATAGCTGCTATTGTGCGTCTACATGATAATTTCCCCCTTTCTTGATGGAGAGAAAGTACTACATATGTATTCCACATTTCCTAGAGAGGTCCACTTGGATCCTGTTAAATGCTACTGTTTTTTTTGTATTTATGTGCCACAGGAGCATTACTATCTTTTCCAATTGAATCTTCTCTCCTCTCACTTTCTAACATATTCTAGCAATAAAACATGGTATCAGAGCGTCGTTTTTGGGCCTGAGGACTGTTCGATCAAAGTTTCTTCTTTTTTTTGGAATTGAACTTAGAACAACCTAGTGGAAAGTGCATCGGCTGATCTGAAAAGGGGTTTCTTCGCAGTTTTTTTCTTGGTCATGTGCCAAGAAATCACTTGTGAGTGAGGCGTTTAGATGCTGTGAAGCTTTTTGCAGTTTTTCTTACTTCAATGTGGATCATGTGATCCTCTTGTACCCAGGTAGGTGGGTTGTCTAGGTCTGGATGACCTGTATCTTCTGTAACAGAAGTGTCTCATATTGTTTCTGGTGATTACTATGACTGTGTGGCCAAAAGTATGGTGGAGTGATATTCGTAGATTCTGTCTAGACCTAGAATAACCTTTTTTTTGCTACTGGAACTGTTTCTGTAGTGTGATAGTGCTGATTTTTGTGAGATTAAGTATCCTTGTGACTGTTTCTCCCTGTTCTTTGTGGCTGCAGAGTGAAAGCAGACCTTTCTTTCTTATCTTCTGAGGATTCAGCTGTCTCTGGTGTGTCCTCTAGCCAAAGTGTGGTGAGTGGGGGATTTGATATGAATTTTGTATGGCTGTAATTCCCTTTGATGGACTCAATTACCTAGAATGGTCAAGGGGAACTAAACTCTACCTAATTGCAAGGGGAAAGATATATTACATTAAAGAACCAAAGTCTGGGAGTGTAAACCATGACAAATGGGATCAAGAAAACAATATGGTGATGTTGTAGTTGTTATTGTCCATGCTACCTCAGGTGAGAAGACCTTCATTAGCAGTGCCCTTCATTGGTCTCAGATACTCCCAACCAGCCAGAGTTATATTTATATTGAGTTTCCTAAAAGAGAAGTTATAGTTTTGTCCAGTAACCAAAACAAATTAATAGAGTAGAAATCACTGATTGCAGTTTTAGATAAATTCCTTGTGAAGAGGAGTAGGATGTCAACCAGAATCGAATTGGTTCTGGCCACCAACCTCTCTTTGTATTATATACTCAACTTAAAAGAGTAAGAGATTACAAGAATGCCCTTAGTAGGGCGGCTACTTAAGTAGCTAAATAGTTACAACTTAAAAACATAAACTAATGGGCCTAAAGCCCAACAGCTTCCTAACTTAACAACTTAAGAATAAGAAATAAATAACTGGGCCCAATAACTAGAAATCGGCCCAACTCAACACTCCCCCTCAAGTTGGGAGTAAATGTCACACATTCCCAACTTGCGTAGATCATTCTCCAGCTTGTTTCTTGCAACACCTTTTGTAAGAACATCATCAAGCTGTAGATCAGAAGCAATGTATGGGAGACAAACTTCCCCAGAAGTCACCCTTTCTCTGATGAAGTGTCTATCCACTTCAATGTGCTTTGTCCGGTCATGCTGAATTGGGTTATGGGCAATTTTAAGTGCTGCTTGATTATCACAATACAACATCATAGGTTCTTCTGCCTTTACACCAATCTCTCATAACAAGGAACGGGTCTAGAGAAGTTCTGAAACTCCATGTGCCATGGCCCTGTATTCTGCTTCTGCACTTGATCTTGCCACCATTGTCTGTTTCTTACTTTTCCATGAGACAAGGTTACCCCCAACAAGGGTGCATACTCCTGAAGTAGATCTCCTGTCATCAAGGCATCCTGCCCAATCAACATCTGTATAAGCCTCTAGCTTCAACTGTCAGTGATCAGCAAATAGTATGCCTCTGCTTGGGTGGCCCTTTAGATAAGCAAGAATCCTGTCAACAGCCTCCCAATGCTGGACTCGTGGGGCATGCATGTATTGACTCACCACACTCACTGCATAGGCGATGTCTGGTCTTGTCATACACAAATACAGAAACCACCCCACAAGTCTCTAATATCTCCCAACGTCCTTTAACAGCTCACCTTCTGATGCATTAATTCTGTGATTCTGATCAATAGGAGTACTGACTGCCTTTGTTCCAAGCTTCCCTGTTTCTTGCAGAAGATCCAAAACATACTTTCTCTGAGAAACGAAGATTCCATGTTTTGATCTTGCAACTTCAATGCCCAAGAAGTACTTAACCTCTCCAAGATCCTTAATTTCAAATTCCCTATGTAGATTCTTCTGCAAACTGTCAATCTCACTTAGGTCATTCCTTGTGACAACAATATCATCCACATAAACAATTAGGACTGACACCAAGGATCCCCTCCGCTTCACAAACAAGGTATGGTCAGACTGAGTCTGAGAGTAGCCAAAAGCAACCAAGGCCTTCCTAAACCTGTCAAACCATGCTTTGGGTGACTGCTTTAAACCATAAAGTGACTTCTTAAGTTTGCATACGTTTCCCTTTTCAACATCACTGTAGAAACCAGCAGGAAGATCTATATACACTTCCTCTTGCAGATCTCCATTTAGGAAATGATTCTTCACATCAAGTTGAAACAGGGGCCAAAAGTATGTGGCAACAAGAGAAAGAAGTATCCAAACAGAAGTCATCTTTGCAACTGGTGCAAAGGTCTCTAATTTATCATTCCCATAGGTTTGTGTGTACCCTTTTGCAACAAGTCTAGCCTTATACCTTTCTATACTTCCATTTGCCTTATATTTGACTATGTAAACCCATCTGCATCCAACAGTCTCCTTGCCCTCAAGTAGATCCACAATCTTCCATGTTTGATTCTTAATTAAGACTTTCATCTCTTCCTGCATAGATGTCTTCCACTTAGGTTTGGAGAGAGCCTCAATGACACCCTTGGGTATAGACACAGAGTCAAGAGAGGAAAGGAAAGCACGGTAGGAAGGAGAAAGTCCACTTAGGATAAATATTGTGAAATACAATGAGCAATACACCTTCTCTTCCCTTTTCTGAGAGCAATAGGAAGGTCCAGATTATCTGTAATGGGATTAGTAGAATCAATGGGAACTGAAACAGTAGAGGGATCAAGAGGAATACCTGAATTCGTGTCAGCTGAATCTGGAGTCTCCAAGGAACCGACAGGAAGTGATGTGAGTTTTGCTGTAGTGGGATCAACCTCCTTGTGAAGTCTCTGTCGTGAGTAACGTTGAGAAGCAGGACGCAAGGGAGGTGGTAAGGTAGGTGATATAGGAGGATTAGACACAGGAGTGGACACAGGAATTGGAACTGGAAGAGGGATAGACTGCTCACTCACTTCCCCAAAACATTCCCCTTGAGAAGGATTCTTCGAGAAGAAGGATGTGGACTCAAAAAAGGTGGCATCCATAGTAAAATACCGACTCCCAGAGATTGGATCATAGCAGCAATACCCTTTTTGGTTTTCTGCATATCCAAGGAAGACACACTTCTTTGCCTTCGGATCAAGCTTTGAATGATGAGGACCAAGAATATATGCAAAGCAAACACATCCAAACACTCTGAGAGGAATATAGAACATCTCCCTCTCAGGAAAAAGGAGACCGAATGGGGTGCTGAATCCAAGTATTACGGGAGGGCACCCTGTTAATCAAAAAGACTGTTGTGAGAATTGCATCACCCCAAAAACGAATCGGAACTGTAGATGTGATCATCATGTTGCAATCTCAACAATGTGCCTGTTCTTCCTTTCTGCAACACCATTCTGCTGTGGACTGTAGGAACAACTGCTCTGATGGACAACACCATATTTTAATAGATACGAACCAAGATGTTTTTCAAAATATTCCCTGGCATTGTCTGATCTGAACACCTTTATTTGTATCCCAAACTGTGTTAGCACTATCTGATGAAATTGCCTTACCAAGGATGGTACCTCATCTCAGGATCTCATTAAGTAAATCCAAGAATATTGAGATAACACAAATAAGAGAAAATATTGATAACCACCCATAGAAGGAACATGATAAGGTCCCCACACATCAGAATGAATAACATTAAAAGGAGATGAACATCTTTTATTACTAGTTTAAAGGAATGTCTACAATGTTTTCCAAGTTGACAACCTTCACACTCCAGACTTGACAAATTAATAGACTCAAAAAGCTTTGGAAACAAGAAACTCAAAGAAGAAAAAGACAGATRACCTAAAYGATTATGCCAAAGCATAATTTGACTCATAGACCCTGACTCACTATCCCTGCTGACATGATGACCCTGATGAGGAGGAAGCACATCTAGGAAGTAGATTCCATTCACTTCACGACCACTCCCAATTGTCCTCTTTGAATCCAGATCCTGCAAAATACAATGACTAGGAGAAAAATTTATTGAGCAGTTTAGGTTCATGTGAACTACCTGTGTGAGCAAAGGAAGTAGAGTGTGCTCCACCAAAACCACATTTACCTGGCTGTCCACCTGTTACTGAATTAGAACTGATTGTATCTCGCTGATTTAGGAACTGCCCATGTCTCTCAAGTTCGGCCCTCATTGCAGCAGCTACAATAGACTTTGGAGTAGCTGCAATGGGAGGGGCCGGTATGTCACCAGTGACTGCCATGTGAGCATTTCCCTTCTTGTTTTTGAGTCTATTCGACACCAGATGAGGATGAAGCTTCTAGCAAGTATCTCTTGTGTGTTTAGGCTTCAAAAACCCTATACTTCTCTAGGAGCTTCTGATAGGCAGCTGCATCCTTAGTGGTTTCCCAAACAACTGTCTCCAGATGGCCAATCTCCTGCCACTGCGTTTTAAGGGCTGAAAAGAAAACAGCAATAGGTGTATCTCCCTGCCTTGTAGCAATAATCTGATTTCTCAACTGATAAGTCCTAGCAATATTCTCCCTTTGTGAATAGGTTTCTACAACCCCATCCCATATTTCCTTAGCTGTATTTGCTCACAAAAAATTTTTACTCATATGGGGCAGCATCGAATTACACAACCAAGCCATCACCGTATAGTTTTCCTGTACCCACCAGGAGTTGTTAATTTTGGGTTTCACTTCTTCACTAGTGATATACCCTAACTTCCCACGAGCATCAATGGCCATCTTTGCAGATTGTGACCATTCTAAGTAATTTGAACCATCCAACTTAACTGTAGTAATGGTTTCAACCCCGGAAAGGTCTCCGACACCTCCTCCCACTGGTCCCATTTCACTCCCGGGCTTGTTTTCAACTCCGTTACCCTCCATTATTATCAAAAAGGGGGTAGAAGGTTACTGTAATATGCAATATCAAATAAATCACTTTTGGTACCAACGACACCCTTCTGGTGCCCTAGATGGTCCTCCCACAAAAGATTGCTTTTCTGTGGGACGGGAGAAGAGAGAGAAGAGGTAGCTGCTCTCTCTAGAAACCTCCAAAACAGGTAGGAATTGAACCGCCCCCCTCAGAAAACTCCAAGGAACCCTAAAAAATTAGGGCGCCACTTCCTAGGTCAAAATTAAAGAGTTGAACAGAAACAAGACTCTCCCCCTTTCTCCAGTTTCTCCTTATTTTGATGGGAAACCCTAGACCAGCTACAGGGCAAATAGATCCACCAAAAAAATCCAAAAACTGGGCTTACCTGAGATCTTCGATCAGCCTCTTAAATCACCATGCAATTGGCCGATCTAGGGCTGCATGATAGAACAGCTCAAGGAACCTTCGGCCTACTCTGATACCAAGTAGAAATCACTGATTGCAGTTTTAGATAAATTCCTTGTGAAGAGAAAGAAGAAGAAGGTGAAGAGTTTCAGCAGTAGAGAAGAAAAGGAGTAGGATGTCAACCAGAATTGAATTAGTTCTGGCYRCCAACCYMTCTTTGTAYTATATACTCAACTTAAAAGAATAAGAGATTACAAGAATGCCCTTAGTAGGGCGGCTACTTAAGTAGTTGAACAGTTACAACTTAAAAAGCATAAACTAATGGGCCTAAAGCCCAACAACTTCCTAACTTAACAACTTGAGAATAAGAAATAAATAATTGGGCCCAATAACTAGAAATCGGCCCAACTCAACAAATAGAAATACCCCTACCTAATTTATAGAACAGAATAGGCAGATAAGCTCTCTCTAACACAGAACATTCATAAAACAGAATAAGAAACAGAACAGAAACTCATTCAGCATATCCTGTCAACATCTTTAAATTGTATTATTTTTTCTTCTTTTAGATTCTACCATCTAATGCTTTGGCACTTTTTTATTCTCTTTTTTCTTCCATATTCTACTGTAAAATCTACAATCATTAACCTGTATTGTGTGCTAAAACTTTCCTTGGGAATAACTTTGTGGTACTTGTACTTCAATTATTCTATTCTTATTAGAGAAATGTATTTAACATGAAGTTGATCCACTTTTAAATACAAACTAGATGTTTGTTCTTCTATTTTAAAATTAAAATATGTATTTGCTATTGGTAGATCAAATCTTATTGTGAATTCAGGTGAATCTCCTGCCTAATTTCTCTCTCCAAACTCAGATCCATCATGAACCCATCATATCCTGCACTTTCCCCCCACATGAGCATTTAGATTCTCTCCTATAAAAATCCTTTCACTATTTTAAATTTCTTGAATTTTTATGAGGAAAAGGTAAAGTATTGTATTAAATTTTCTGAAAAAAATGAAAAGTGTTAGAATTACATGTACATCTATGTTTTTTCCAAAATTGTCTTGTAATGTTTTCTTCTAAACCTCCTTAAGGTACCTAAGCACTAATTATATTAATGATTTCTTTACCTAAAATAAGTCTAATTGAAATTATTCTATCTTTATTTCATTTAACCTTTAAAATTTCATTTTTTAGATCTTTGTCTACTATTGCCATTAACTCATTTTTATTATTGATTTCTTCTATGTAGAAGTGCATAGCGATTAGCTTCTTTATTTTTTCCCTTTCATTATTCTCTTTGGGCATGTCATATTCATTCTTCTCTTTTTGTATCATGTATACTAATTCCATACTGTTGTTAAAGTTTTTATGTTTCAAGTAATTAACTGAATTCCTGTGTTTGTAGAGATATAATGAGTGATATGGATTAATCTTGTATTTACTTCTGGGAATGCCTTGATGTGAGCACAGAATAATAATTCGAGATCCATGTCCTTTCTTGAAAAATTGTTATTCTCCCCCTGCTGATAGTGGTATGTGCAGTAAAAACTTTTAATGAGAGAGGGGTTGAGAGGTGGCTGACATGGAAAAAACAGTCTTTTTGGATTATTACCTAAGCTACCATTGGGAAGAATTTAGGTGTCTAGATCCATATATGTTACTAGCTGCTAAATTTTGTGAATCTCTATCCTTAAACTTTGAGGAAGCTGCATTAAACTCATTATGGTGTTTTCCTTTATTGTTGTTGTTATTTTTATTGTTATTGTTATTGGCAGAAGATCATGAAGAGACAGCAGATCAAAAGCGTTCTTGGTGGGTGGCTTTAGCTGTTGTACAGTCGTACAATTCTAGACATAAAGTGCGATGCAGCAATATTTCTTTACCTGACTTAGAACAATGTTTATCCAAGGCATCTTACTCAGCTGCTCAGAATTCTGGTACCTCTCATATCTTAGTCTTGAAGTTGGTACTGGCCTTTCAAATTCAATTGATTATGAAAACTTTTTTTATTTTCTTAGGCACAAACTTAGTACTAGTCTTTTGAGGTTAGTTATTTATGAAAACCTTTTGTTTCGATGCATATCCACTTTACATATTTGAGTGGCTTTCAAAAAAAAAAGCTGGTATTTTGAGTTGCAATCGCGATTCTATGGAACTATTATGGAATATGGATAGGAGAGAGTTTATCTAGTTATCATAGACAGTTAGTTAAACTTCTAACTTTTTGAAATGTTGACATTTTTTTTATATTTGCAAAATATGTGTTCAACTAATTTATTTCCTTCTGAATTTCCTCAGCATCAATCCATATGCCACGAATTGGTTATCAAGATGGATCTCAACATTCGGAGTGGTACACAGTGGAACGTCTTTTACGAAAATATGCATCTGTATACAGCATAAGAATTTTTGTGTACCTCTCTCTCTCTCTCCCCCTATATGGGTCTTTTGGATTTAGTTGGTCTAGTTTCACTTGCCATTGTCAGCCCTATACCTCATGTATTGCATCTCCCTCCATAAATGGTAGCCCATCCCAAACAGGTAAAAAAAATCTCCATTGGGCTGAATCTTTACTGGAATATAGTGACATATAAAGCCACATAAACTCTTTTTTGAAAGGTAAAATATTGTATTATATTACTGAAAGGAGGGAGAGAATCCCTCAAACTGGGTACAAGAGAAATATATAGGCCTCTACTCCTATGCAGAAAGTGTATGGAGTATTATGACTGTATCCACTAGTCATTCATTTACAAAATCCACAAACAGAATCCTTTCCTGCTGATTTGCAAACTCCTCTTATGCCTTCGAACTCCTGTACACTTGCCCATTCCACCAAAAACCTTTCAAGTTTTCCAATTAACTGCTCAGGTTCTACCCCCACCTGATTGAGACCCTGCTTTTACGCTCCAACAAAATGGTCCAACATAAATCCCCAGGTAGCATCTGCCATAATCTCCTTCCCCTTCTACTGAAAACCTATGATGGTCAAGCCGCAATCGAAGATTGCAGATCACCTGGTAAACAGATGCTGGAAATGACACCAAATATGATATGTGACTGGGTATCAAATCAAGAGATGACTGATGAGCAACATCTTCAACTTCAGCCTGGCATAAGATACACTGGTTAATAATTGCCAGACCCTAGGAAACAATTTCCTCTCTATGTTTCCCTTGGATCACTTTCTCCACAGAGATTTTTTTCTCAGAACCATATCTCCATATCCGTCTCCCCAAGAGTGCTCTGTTTACTGCTTTAAGAGGTCTGATACCCTACCCCCCTTGTAAATTTGGTAAACAAACTTGGTTCCAAGCCACAAGACGCAAGTACCTCTCACCATCCAAACCATCCCAAAGGAAAACTCTTTGGATTTTTTTTTCTAGAAATTTCAGAACCAATGCAGGGGCTGTGTCAAGTGAAAAATAATGTTGTAAGTAAGAGAGCAAACCATTTATCAGAGTAACCTACCACTTGGATTTATATTTAGCTTGAGTGGAAGGCCCAAAAACTTGGATAGTAGATTACCTCTCTCGCAGCCTAGGGTGTTTGCCAACCCATCTTGGCTGGCATAAAATCAAACCTTTTCCGTCTTCGTTTTTCTGGGTGATCACATTTATGGTATCAACTTTTGTGTAATTCTTGGTTATAATGTTTTGCAGGTATTACTTCCGACGTTCTTCATGATAATGTGAAAATGGTCTATTGTCCAGCAGAGTCTTGCATCTATTGCAATGGAAAAGGAGCGGGTGAAAACACTGATTGATGTGTACGTCTTTTGTCATATTAAATCATAAATGCATTAGTTGGGATTTATTTATACTCTTTGATGCTGTACCATAGTCCTTATCAATATGTACTGTTCAATTGGTGGGCTAGTAGGATATTTTGGCCATGTTTGGTTTGCTGCTGTAAGTCTCATGCTTTCAATTATTATTCATTTTGGGCAAGAATGAGCAATAATGAATCACATGAGAGCATATTTGGTTACAAAATTCTTGTCATGGGCTTCATTTATTTTAGAATTAAAAATGAGTTCATGGCATAAAAATAAACCCAACTTGCAGCATGAAAAATAATTGTGCTTCATATTGCTCTTGCTCTTTTTCATTCTATAAAAAACCTCTATGCTGACATAGATTTTTACCAGCAAATGGTGGCAGCCTGTTGTAAAAACATATGATGACAGATACTGACTGCCAACCAATGGCAACCATCCACTAGTGAAAACCTATGCCGGCAGCTTACGACCATTGGTGCAAAGCTTCTTTGAAAAATGAAAAAAAGAAAATAAACCATATGGGACATGATTTTATGATGTTTTATTATATTTTATGACTTTCTTAATATATTCTCTTTACTTATTTATTTATTTGCTTCAAGGGCTACACAACCGGGGGGAGGGGGTGGTAGCCCATCCCCCAACCTAGGTGCAGGTGGGATTCGATCCCAAGTCTCTGCTACAGGCGGGATTCAATAGTATATTATCTCTATTGAATATACTATTATCAATTTGATAAAATCATTAGATATTTTGTACTTCACCATGTTATTAATTTTATTTTCAATTTTACAAAATTTAGATTCCATTTCTATTTTAACTTCCAATCTCTTTCTTCTTTTGCACAACTGCATACTTAATTCAACAAACTATTTTTTAATTAGATTTAAATATGTGCTAATTGCTTCCAGAAAAATGAATGATAATGAAATTTATAACCAAATGGGTTAAAAATTTATTTTCATTTTTGCCATAAAAAGAATTATTTTTTATTTTGGAAAAAAATTGTTTGGTTTGTACCAGCATTTTTTCATTCGGCTAATTTTTACCCATTTGGCCATTTTTGTCCATTTTAGAATGTTATTATTGGAAAGAATGAACAAAAATGAGAATTGAACCAAACATGACCATTATCAGTACATCCATGTGCCTTAACCGTAAATGCAAAGGTTTGATGTGCTAAATTCATTCCAAGGATAAGGTTAAAATTTTTCTGCTGAAATATTTAGTTGTTGTGAGATATTTATGGGGGTAAAAGAGGCATTCAATCATTTATGTATGTTTAGTTTGACCAAATTTACCATCTAGTCCAATCCGAGTATGACAACAATGATTAAAGCCATATTTTATTATTTTTGCCCATTTTGTGATTATGAATTATGATGACTTGCCCTTTTACATAAAATATAAAACAAAGGGAAATTTATGATTTGCTTCCCTCATAAATTTTTATTGGTTTTCTAAAATGTATTGTTTTGGAGAGGTTGCTGAATGACTTCAAGGAGAATCATCTTCAGAAGGGAGGGACAGAAGGGATGATCTCTAGAAAAGCGAAAGTGGAAAAAAGAAGGTTGGGGGAATGAAGATTCTGTGGCAGCCTTTGTGGGGAAGCTTGGATGTAAATTGAAAGATCTAAATGATCTTAAAGTGTTCTTACAAAAAAAGAGAGGAAGTAAAGGTGAAAGAAAGAAAGATAAGTGAGGTTGAAAGACTATTGAGGGATGTGGAAGGAGATAAGAGTTTCCACCTTAGAGGGGAAAGGAGGAAAGGAAGCAAGTGAGGATAATAGAGGTTAGGGGTGAACAATTTGAAGAAAATGAAAATCTTTAGTTGGAATGTTAGAGGCTTGGGGAGTCTAGAAAGAGAGCAATCATTAAAGAAGCAATCAAGAAGGTAAATCCAGATGTGGTAATTCTGCAGGAGACAAAGAGGACAGATTTTGATGGTAGGTGGGCAAGGAGTATATGGAAAGGTAGGGGAATCAGTTGGGCTGTGGCCCCCCTCTTGGGGGGCAGCAGGGGGTATTATGAAACTGGAAAAATGATATCTTCATAGGGTTGGAGGAATTGATAGGACAATTTACAGCCTCAATGAAGTTTAAGCAGGTGGAGGATGGTTTCGAGGGGGTATTATGACACTGTGGAAAAATGATATCTTCACAGGGTTGGAGGAATTGATAGGACAATTTACAGTCTCAATGAAGTTTAAGCAGGTGGAGGATGTTTTGGAGTGGGTATTAACAAATGTGTATGGGCCAAATGATTATAGAGAAAGGGAGTATTATAATTTGGCCTTCCCTTGAGTCCTGTTAGTTTGATAACAGTTGAGAAGAGAGGAGAAGAAAGAAGAAAGAAAGAGAGAGAGAAAGGAGAAGAAAAGAAGAGAAGAAAGGGAGAGAAAGTTCTGGTTCGAATGAAAGAAAAAATTCACTCTCCCATTCGGCCAGATGTGTTTTATATTACTAACATAATGGAAAAGACACATGTGTTTTATATTACTAGTATCCCCCCCTACTTAAGGGGGGGATACTAGTTCTAACATAATCTTACACATCAGCAACCTTAACATAAGCATAAAGATAGAAATACCCCTACATACTCGACACTAACACTCCACCTCAAGCTGATGAGTATATATCTTATAGTCCCAGCTAGTTACATATGTAGTCCACTCTTCCCCGACTCAACCCCTTAGTAAATAAGTCTGCCCAGTGCCCATTGGTTCCCTGTGTTAACATATGCAATGTCTATCACTCCACTCAGCACCTTCTCTCTCACAAAGTGGCAGTCAACTTCTATGTGCTTGGTTCTTTCATGAAACACCGGATTAGAAGAAATATGAACTGCAGCTTGATTGTCAGCAGTAGAGCTTCATTGGAGTGTTAACATTGTATCCCATCTCTTGTAGCTGGTTCCTTAGCTACACTAGTTCACAAGTAGTATATGCCATAGCTTTATATTCTGCCTCCGCACCGCTTCTCACCACACTGGTTCCAACACTTGTTTTTGCTGAAAATTGCACTCTTTACACCACAAACCCTACCCCACGACTACCTGAGATCTCACTACACTGTATGAGGACCACTCTCCCTTCGAATCACACTGAAAACAACATAAACCCTAGCACACTATAGTCTGAAATCCCACCATACGATCTGAAACATACTTATTATTTGATTCACAACAAAAAAATGCATAGAAATCTCTTACCTAATCACCTGAAAATCAGACCACACAAGACACCCACTGCACCATACGAATCAGCCCTCTTCTCTTCATCAATTAGGGGAGGACTTCTTACAAACCACAACAACCAACCACAAACAGCACAACTGGAGGTATAGAAACCTCCAAGGGAAGAGGGCRACCACTCCTTTTCAGCCCTTTTCCCTTTTCTCCAACTGATGGCAAAGAAACCAAGAGAAAACCCTAAATTGGGTGCGCAGAAAACAGAAATTTGGGCAGATTCGAGTTGCTTAGTTGAGCTCTGATACCATATTATAATTCGGCCTGCCCTTGAGTCCTATTAGTCTGATAATAGTCGAGAAGAGAGGAGAAGAAAGAGAGAGAGAGAAAGGAGAAGAAAAGAAGAGAAGAAAGGGAGAGAAAGTTCTGGTTCGAATGAGAAAAGATTCACTCTCCCATTTGGCCTGATGTGTTTTATATTACTAACATAATGGAAAAGACATGTGCCCCTACTTAAGTGAGTGACACTAGTTCTAACATAATCTTACACATCAGCAACCTCAACATAAGCATAAAGACAGAAATACCCCTACATACTCGACACTAACAAGGGGAAATTTTGGGAAGAACTAGGTGATAAGGGTTTGTGGGAGGGACCTTGGTGTATTGGATGGGATTTCAATGTGATTAGATTCTCGGAAGAAACAAATAAATCTAGACAAAGGGTGACTACAAGCATGAGGAACTTTAACCAATTTGTGGATGACTTTGAGCTTAAAGAGATCTTTCTGTCACATAGCAGATTACTTGGTCTAACCTCCAAGTGAACCCCATTTGCTCGAAATTGGACAGGTTCCTTTTTTCAAATGATTGGGAAGAGCACCGAGGGAATTTGATTTGTAGGGCCCTTCTAAGGATTAACTCTGACCATTGGCCTATTGTGATATGTACGGAAGAGTTGGGGAATGTGGGGCCGACTCCTTTTAGGTTTGAAAATATGTGGTTAGGCCATAACCACATATGGATTTTATTAGGAAAGTCAAAGATTGGTGGTCAGAGTGTAACTTGAAGTCGAGTGGAGTGGTATGAGATTCTATAGAAAGCTCCAATTTCTGAAAAATAAAATTAAAGATTGGAACATTCTAGAGTTTGGGAGGTTGGAGGAAAGGAAGCAATCAGTGACAACACAAATTGAATATTTGGACTTGAAGGAAGAGAGGGGGTGTTGGAAGGGTTAGGATCCATCATATGGATGGCCGAACCATGCTAGATGGTTGGGAAAATTTTCAAAAATTTCCTAATCCTTCTAGGAATTGAATTCCTTATGTTTTAAAAAATTGCATTTTTCAGGATTGGTCTTGCATTGAACCGAACCAGATTTAAAACCAAACAAAGAAGATCATGCTTGATAGGGATACAACAAATGCAGATCCTAAGGTGGTTCACACCCAAATTAGTCCTAAAACCAGCCTCCACTGAAGATGGCGCAGTGTATAGGTGAAGCTAATTTAACAACACAGTTTTCAGCAAAACTGCAACCCAACTGCTTGGATCGAATTGGGGAAGGTGAGCCTGAAATTCCTATGAATTTTTCTTGCAAAAATCAGAAGAAAACTGATATCCATCGGTCCTTGAAAACCTAGGTCGTGATAGGGTTTCTTGGAAGACAAAAGAGAACAAGAGAGAATAAGAGAGAGTGGTTTTCTAGTCTGGTTCACCCTCTTCTTTTTTTATCTCCTTATGGAGCACTCTCCTAATCAAATTAGGAGATTATCCAAATCTAATTTGGATMKGGACTCTAWT